CGTGAGAGCTGCCAGAGACGTTGGCATGACTGCAGTGAGGGTGACAGAGACACATCAGGCTCTCAGAGAACTGGGGACACTGCTGGGAGTGAGGCTGGCATATGAGAACACTGATAGTAGTAGTAGCTCTAGTCATGTCTCACTAAAATCTTTACTTTAGAAGTAAACGTAAATCGCTGCCAACATTATGCGTTGCCGCAGAGCCGATTGAGAAGGCGTGGCTCCGCGACACTTAGCGCGCGCGTGTATCTGCGCATGCGCACTGGTCTCGCTCCTCCTTCCTAGATCCTCAAGCCTCCACTGCGTCGATGAATACGCTAAACATTAGGTCCGAAAAAGAAGCTCGGAAAGCGGCGGCGAATCTTTTGACCAACGGATTGTCGGATCATGGATTATAACAATGCCGTGGAGGAAAAGGGTCCACAAATCCCCAAAGAGATGGTCCTAGCTCCTCCAGCGCGGAGCTCAACAGGTATAGCTAATAGCCGTATGACAAGCTAGCGCTGCAACTAACACGCATTTCTACTGCACCACCGAGCCACAGCCGACTTGGAGACAGTGAAAGAAGAGAGTCCGCATGGCCAAGAAGTGAAGACTGGACCAGCATCATCTCTGTCTGACCCCACTATCCTCGAGCTGTTTCAGGTAGAATCATTACAGATACATCTAGCTATATATTATTTGGAGCCTATTTACTGCTAAACGCATTCTATCACTTTTGCAGCAGCAGAACAAGCTGTTAGTGAGAGGGACGAAGCAACTAAAGAAGGTCCACTCGGGTCTCAAGAGATGCTGACCGGTGTACCATCACCAACAGCTGAAGCCCAGTTCGCAGCCCTAGCTACTTACGACGCAACGAGAGGCAGAAGGGAAGGAGGAGCAGCAGGACCGTGGCAGATGCCCATACAAGAGACAGGGCCCCACTTGCCCTCAAGAGCTTGCTCAGTGACACAGAACTCTTTTTAACTGTACTAACATGTTTGATGCTGTAAATTTATGGCAACCATGCTGACTTGTTTTATACTGTATAATGTACCAATGTTTGTATTTGTAGATGCCTACCCATGATGGCTTGCCTGCAACTTCTTACTCACATGTTGTTATTTGTATACCAACCCATGAAGACTTGTCCTATCTAAGCAAGTTGGGAGTGTCATAATAATATTTTAGTGTAGAGCAACGATTGACCTCATTGGTTCACACCACACTGCTCATGCATGGTGAAAAAAAATGAGTATTACACACTAACAAAAGATGTTACGGAGTTCAGTCACTCCACTCGTCACTATCGCAGCCGTCCATGGCCTCTTGAGGTAGAGGGTCTTCATCTTGATCTCCATCTTGTCTATCATGGCCGACATCAACTGTATATAGGGGGAACGGGAGAGGGCAGCATTAGCCAATGATAACCAACAGACAACCATTATCTCCATACCAGCATATAATACCACGTATGACAAATGAACTAACCTCTTCTTTCTTTTCCTCATCAGTCTTGAAGTCTGGGTTATAACTCTGATACTTCTTGGGAGCTGGTGCTGCCTTTGGAGCCTCACTCACTGCAAGTAATGAATTTCCAACTCAGGACTCTTTGGCGACTTTGTGACTTTAGTGGCACCCAATGTAACCAGTTATGTGATTCACTATGCCCAAGATATTGCTACCAGATATGGTAGTCTGGTAATCTGTGTAAAAGAGGTTTTTATGTGCGTTTATGTGGCAAAAGTCAGTGTGTAAAAGAGTGTTTTCTTTCTCACAAGGTTCCATGTCATGAGGTCTGAGACTGAGGGAAGACTGGACTCCATCCTCCCCAGAGAGCCACTCCTGACTGGTCAGAGCTGCCTCCCATGTCACTCTGGTCTCTGGGTACACATCATCCTGGAAATACTCCGTCTGTATGAGAGAGATCATGGTACATAGTTTTTGGCAGTGAAATGCACTAAAAATAATCCGTTTTTACCCATCAAAACTTACAAAGGATGAGGCAAGGTAGCTAGTTCTTCTTAGTAACATATTTGGATGGCATCACATAATTTTTGTGACAAATCACTACTCTATACACATTTTTTTTTTCAACGCCACTCTTAGTTATAGTTACTGGAATGTATGAGCACTAGCGATGCTGGGGCCCCCCTATATTATACTAATATATACTACCGTACTTAGTGACACAGCTTTCTTTTGAACTCACCCTAGTCCTGGGGACCTTGAAGAAGATGGGTTCAACAGTAGTCTTGCAGAGTCTGACAGCTCTTGCTATCTCCACTTGTCTCACATCACACAGGTCTTTGGGCAGGTAACTCACCCGCCCTGAAATGTTAGCACCATATTCATATGAATACTTTAGTGCATTATGAATACCATTAGTCCACACTGTAAGTTATTTGAACATGCTGTCACCTGGTGTGGGGATCCACATGCAAATGGAGCAACATCAAACAGATATGGCTCCTTATCCTCCACATACTCATAGGCAATGATTGAGTTGTCTCCCTAGGGAATAAGACATACATTGAGGCAAAATCCATGAGATCTGAAGCAAAAAAACGTAATCCCCAGTGAAACAGTTTAACTGCATGTCAACTGCATTTGTGTGGGTGTTGGATAAGCACCAATGTCTTGAATAGAGAGGAAATAGGGAAGAAAACACTAACTTTCCCGGAGAGGAAGACGAGGCAGGTATCTGGGTCGTAGTGAGGGACGAGCGTTGCCGGGGAGATGGTGGTAGATACAGAGGACAAAGGTCGCGAGAGGTCAGAGGTCACATACAGAGAAATGGTTCGAGAACTTGTCCTGTTGACAGTGAACAAATTCTCAATGCACTATCAACATTTTGAATAACTCCTCACTTGTTGAATCCAGACACCGCTAAGTGAGTGCTGTTTAGCCAAACGATGCGGGCGCCACGGCTACCCTCTGGCCCCACCCCCTCGTTAACGGGGGAGGTGGAGTTTCGCGGGTCGTATATTCTGATGACGTGATCCCTGGCGATGGTTGCTAGGAGTTTACCATCTGGACTCCAACTCATGGCAAACAGCTGCATGTCAATGAAGTAAAACGAACTGTAGTAGATTGTTGCTGTAGAGATTGGTATTCTTAGCCTACAGTACAACTGCCATTGAATAGCTTCAGCAGTGAGCCCAGCTCAAAAGGAGCAAAAGAAGATGAATCTAGTTAATGGTTGACATGAGCAAGAAGAAAGAGATTCTCACAGGTTGAGGGAGAGGGTCCATCCTGAGTGAGATGGCTCTCTCCTCAAGGTTCCAGATGAAGAGGTGGCAGTCAAACCCAGCAGTGGCCAGGAGAGAGGAGGCCTGGGGGTGGAAACACAGGAGGTTGGGCTTCTCCTGGTGGCCTGGGAGAGGAGGAGAGAGAGATGCCACTAATGTTTTGTATATAGTTCCCATGAGAGAGCCTTAATATGTGCAAAACTTCAGCTAGTGTTGCAGACATGGAAAAATTAAGAAACAATTTCTGCGAAACTTCCAAATATGTAGCTGATCCATAAAAAATTTGCAACTCAGACAACATTTGGTGGTGTATGGTGTTGAATTAACCGATGAGGAAGAACTCTGGTTCTTTGACTGTGCCTCCTCTGCCTCCTTCTGGCACCTTCCACACCCTGATCCTGGCATCATCACAGGCTATTGGGGAACACAATCACATACATTACTGCATGGAGTGATTCATGCTGTGAATATTTTAAAGAGGATGACTTTCCTTAAACGATGTATATACAAGTCAGCCAACCATGCGACTCTTCTAAGCTGCATAATTCAAAATTCAGTGAGGAAAGCAGTCTGTGCCAGTGCTTACACGTCCTTACATAACTCAAACAAATACGTGGGCTTGACAAACATCCATGAATTGTTATCATGCAGGCTTACCTACTACTAGTCTGTGGTTGTTGAAAGGATCGAAGACAAAGTCCATGATATTTGCCGAATTCTGAAACATCAGAACTTCGTCCGTGTCCTGACGACCTGTGTGAGTCAGCTGTGGATGGATAATGACATCACAATGACGTAATGCGAGTAATTTATTCCCCGAACCTTGAAGATGCCAATCTGTCCGCCAGCGATGTCAAGAGCTGCAGCCACGAAATCTCTGTTTGCCTGCAAAAGAACAACACCATTCCAGTTTTGGCTGCTCTTTCAAATCAAAGTTCATTATCTAGCTAAAATAGCAGCTCTACATTACTTCTGCAGGCTTCTATTGATTCAATTCATCTTCCCTCATTATCTAGCTAAATAGCAGCTCTACACTGATTCAACTCTCTCATAATCATTCTCCCCCCATCATTATCTTGCTAATGCTACAGTCACTGACTGACCTGGAAGCCATTGCTGTCTCCAGGCATTGCCACGCTCAGTTTAGGCAGCTTCTCAATGTGTGTGCTTCGATGCAGCGTCCCTCCCTGGATGTGACGAAACTTTGACGAACGCACGATGTTCAGCACTTTGGGCGTCGGGCTGAAGGAAGACGACCGAGACTCTTCAGAAACGGTGCGAGAGTCTGGGATGGGGGATTTTCCCCCTGGGGTAGGGGATTTCCCGACTGGGGTGGGGGATTTCCCCTCAGAGGGTGGTCTGATTTCTGGGGATTTCGTTCCGTTCTGTTTGGAGTGTGATTTTGGTTGGGATGCGGCTTTCGGTTGTCCCTTTGGATCCAAACTGACTTTAGCTACCTGCAGAGAGATCATGTGATCATCACATGACAATCACATGACCAGAAAATCAACAGACAACAAAAGAATATGTATATAGTAAAACTACGTCTTTTGCAAGCCTTCCCAAGCAAGCACTTGTGGCGCAATTGGTTAGCGCGTTCGGCTGTTAACCGAAAGGTTGCTGGTTCGAGCCCAGCCAGGTGCGGATTTTTTCTTTTCTCGCACTCTCGAATCTTCATCTTGTATACCTTCCCATTTTGTCCCTGGCACCACTGGTCTGCAGTGAGTGCTGGTTCACTGCCGGCAGTGTCTGGGAACAGGTCGCTGTGGAACTCACTCTGACTCTAGAGGAAGATGGTATTGAAGGAAAATGCTTTATACCGTTAGTTAGATATAGAGAATAAAGAAACGATTGTAAAACTTCATTCTGGTATATATTGGGCTCAAAAAATGGTGATAAGGTGGACCCAACAGAATGGGGAAAACACATTTTGATAATAGAGATGACAAGAAAACGATAGATGGAACAGACAGTACAAAGGTTGTCTCCCTCCCCTCACCTTTCTCTGTACGTGATAGCCAACTGGGATGATGGAGTTCTGTGTCAGCTGCAGAAATCTCGCGATCTGACACGACATTACGTTCACCGCCCTCTTGGGCACCATCCCCATCCCTTTCTGCTGCTCTGCTCCCCGATACACATTGGGACCTGCTCACATAGAACGACAGCAACATGCATCGTAAATCATGTGGAGGAGAATTCTTTTCTGTTCAGATGGAGCAAAAAGTACTATTTATCATGCATTATCAGGATTTGTAGCCAAGTACAGCCTAGTAAATATTTCGTAGGTGTTTAAGCGAAATCCCAGGCATTATATTATGACATTATGATGCACATTTGACCCCCAATTATAGTATTATAATTATATACCTTGTGAGAGATATGGCGACTTTTCTGATACTTCGTAGAACATGAGAGTAGATTCACTCTAAGAAAATAATATTGAAATTTGATGTTTAATTAGCAAGGTTAATAAGGGGGCTTACCTTCATTGCTACAAAGAGCATTTTGCTGTCTTCATCGTAAAACAGCATTGGACTCCTAAATACAGTGAGTAGAGGGTTAATTTATAGTCACATGATTGTCACGTGACCTGCATACCCAGTGGATGAGCCAATAGTTTGAGTGGTGACTGGTTTGGAGAGATTTGTGATGTCCCAAAGACTTACTTCAGCACTACGAGTCTGGAAGGGGAGAGGGGGGGAGAGGTAAGATAGCTTTAATCCCAAGCTCCCCCCCTCTGGAGGAGAGAAAAAGAGGGGGGTGGAGAGGTATAATCCCAAGCTCCCCCTCTGGAGTGCACAACCTCTCTCTTCTTCTTTCTGACTCACAATGTTGAAGCCGGCAGTTGCGATGTAGTTACTGTCTCCCAGCCACTGGACTCGCGCCTCCTTTCAGCCCACTGTGACCACACCCCTCCTGCACTCATGAATATCATTAACTCATCTCGTACCAGACTACTGTATGGTACACTTACGGACACACAGGTGCCAGCTCGGGGGTCAAATATGCGAATCTTCTTCTGATTTTTACTCTGAAAAGCGATATATTTGCATGACAGTGAAACACCAGACACAACGAGGCACTATTAGGAGTTGCCCTTATTTCAGGAGTTAAAGTCATGCAAGAACCGTTCTTTGGGAAAGAAAGGGTGTCCAGATGGAGAGAGGTGTCCTCATTACCTCAGGGGTCATCTTAGAGGGGCTCTAATGAAAACGCAACTGGATTAAAAGTGTTGAAAGAAGTGTCAAAAAAGTTTTATTGAAAGATGAGTGTCAATATTATAGGTTCCACTGTACATTTATATTGAGCATACCTTACATATGGAAGCTAGCTGGGAGCCATCTCCGTGCCAGGAGAAGCTCTGAACTGCCTCCTCATGCCCACCCAGAGCTGCATGTGACAGTCACATGACTCATCCACAGATCACATGATCCAAGTTTAACCCCCTGCTCACCGTATTTCTCGGCCGTGTGCTCTACGTCCCACACCTTGACTGCAGTACCAGCCGCTATGCCAAGTATCTAACACCACATTGAAACAGAAAGCCAAAGATAGTTGTGCGAGATATTATAATTAAAACCCTTTCCTCCTCACATTATCTGCCGTTGGGTGAAAGAGTAGATTCTCAACTTTTGCCTGCAGACAAGAAAGACATTTCATGACTTTTGACAAGAGAAATGTTTGAGATTCAGCAGAATAGAATTGTCGCACTATTAGCTGTGTAATTACAGGTCCTCGCACTAAATTTTTTGGTCAATGGCTTTCAAAATGCTATTGAGTTTCAACCAATTACTAAAATACCTCCATATGAGATAGGGTAGAGGTGGGTGTGGTCAGACTCCCACTGACTCCGCCCCCTGGAATGCTCCATATTTTAACGAGGCAATCCTCTCCGCCGGTGGCCAGGAGATTATCGTGAAATGAAGAGAAATCGAAATCCGTCACGAAGCCTGGGGAAACATAAACCAAACCAGATGTGAATTTCCTTCATCTGGTATGTAAGTACATAATATACAGGAAACTGGTTTTAATTTGCATATCTGTATATTACATTTCGTAACACGCAAGCAGTAACTGTGTGAATCATTTGAAAATGCAAAGGACTCGTTTCTACCACTGCACATACAGTAATGATTAAGTGTGCGGAAAATTGAACTATTTGCGTTCCATTATTTCTAGTGTACGAAGCTAAAGAGACAGTGTGGTGGGTGGGGCTTACCAGAGTGGCCTGAGACGAGGGGGAAGGAGGTGAACCTGCCGCAGCTGTCCAGAGGCAGTACCGCCAGAGACCCAACACCTGTACCACGGTGGTAAGAATATGATTTCGTACTTTTAGCAAGAAACAGGGGGAAAGGACAGGCCAACCAATCATCCTGAATATCTTTGATATAGCTATATAGAGTGCTTAGTTTAGGAGTGATAAAAAGCTTTGCCAGGCCAACAAGCCATTGGTTATACATAACAGGAGTGGGCACTTACCCTAGTTTGCACGCCATTTCACTAACTACTGTATGTGCTAATACGTCTCAACATGTTGGCAGTAGCGTGCTCAGTTAAGTGGTTTGTGCCACTCTCACGATGGCATGTTTGCAAACTGCTCGTTTGCAATACAGAAAACACTTGTTGATATTGGCCATGTACGAAGTTGCTCCTATTTCTAGCACACAATAGGGAAGTAAAATGGTAGCGTTATATGATACTCTTTGCAGAGGTTATGTAGCTGAAACCACACGTTTCCATAGGCACACATGCTCCTAGAAGACCAATGATGTCACACAGTGTATGAAAACATACATATAGGTTAATTCCTAAAAAGGCATCACTGAACTGCTATGGGACGTAAGGTAGTAGAGAACCAAACAGTGTTCTTTGTACACACAAACACACACACACACGCACACACACACACACACACGCACATCGCTCACGTGCCTCATGAGGTTATGTCTGCAATGTATTGGAGAAACTGTGTGATCATTATGTAGCCAGTATTATGTGACATCACTAAGCAGGTGACAACAAGAGCTCCTCAGGGGAACAAGCTACTGAGAACCCTTTGGTATAATACGTACAGTGAAGTTGTGAGTTCTGACAACTCAATTTCCCTTTTAAACTTCGCTTTTTCACAATGAAACTACCATAAATGGCTTTACCACATAGGTCCTATGATTTTCGTTACTGTTGCATGGTTGCTAAGTTCTCTCTCTACGTACTGGTGGAGTCATGGTGGAAGGCAATGAAGGAGCAGCTGGCCTTGATATGGTTGCTGTTGGATTTCAAGTTGGACCCAACCTTTAGGTCGTTGATCCAGAACTAGAGAAAGAAGTGAGAAAGACAGAGTGAGCAAGAATGATAGGGAAGGAAGAGCAACATGATACGAGGTCTTCAGCCATTGGGCGTAGCCTTACACTAGGTCTACTGTTGCTGAAGAGCTTCTCAAACGCTATTAGACATCAGCCAGGAAGGAAGAACTAAACGCATAGCTTCAAGGGCCATTGCAGCATAGGTGATTATCTTACACAAGCAAGCTATTTTGTCACAGGGATTAAGAGGCAGTCTGCGCAAAGATTTAACAGTCATGTGAGATAGATCATCGTTGAGGATACGGCTGCAGGGCCCCGTGAGTGAGTACAGGTCGCTAACACGCGCCTCTGTCGATTTGTGTTTGTTGAGGCCAGCCAAATGATGACGCTCATGTACGTAGATAGATACCGCTCACCTCTTTCTTGTAAACATAGCTGTAGGCGTTCTTGTACTTGGAGGTCTTGAAGCGACTCATAACGCGCCGTCTTCTTCCGAGCTTCTCTCCACAACACACTATCGACACTAGATTTCTCAAATCCCTAATGCGCATGCGCACGGACTGGCTAATTGTTTAGCCGGCCGCGCCCCCACGCTGGACATACCAAACTTGATTGCCCAGTGTTTTACACAAAGTGTGTCGGGCAGTGACATTGGTCAGTGCTGTAGATAGGTGTGCGGGCTACCCCAGTCTCTGTAGGAGCATGGATCTCTTCGTTGAGCTGCCTGACGGGACCAGCAAACACGTCCCGGTGAGCAAAAACCGCGGGAAACTCAGTGCTGCTGCTAGTTAGCGAACCTCTGCGAATCCTTGCTCGCAGGCAGCCGTGTCATAGCTTTGTGGGTGTAACTACTATACTTACACAAGTCGTAGGTAGGCTAGCTTGCTGCACTGTTTTGCATGGTCCAGGCGATTTTCAGATCAGATTGATCTGCAGCAATTTCCTCCGTAGCTACGTAGCTAGATAGAAAGCTCATCACTTGTGTTGTGTTTCTATTGTCGCGTTCTGCTGTATTTTATTTGCCCCTGTTGATGAACCTCAGTTACTATGTTAGAGCTAAAATCTATATAATGCTTGCAGGTCTCTCTAAACTGCAGCGTGCGGGCAGCCACTCAATCCTGCGTCCTCCGTGCAGGTATGTAGATTCATGGGTCTTCCCGCTGAAATAATGTAAAGCCAATTTCCATATTATCTCAGCTCATGATAGGCTGCATTACAAAGTGATAGGTATATATCCTTATGAGTTCTATCCTTATGTGTGGCAAAGACCCTATGGCTATAAATGGTGTGTACACATGATCTGCGGTCTGCATTCCCCAGATTCAGTTTACAGTATCCACTTGTGCTCCCCCTCTCCCCCCTCTCCCCTCTCTCTCCTCTCCCTCTCTTCACTATTCCCCCGCACTCTCACTACTCTTTAGGAATGACACCAGTAGCCAGCAAACTGACTGAGTTTTCACTGGCCAAAAAGACAGACAATCAAAACCCCATAATCGATGGTATGTGAACATCTCCCCCCACCCTACACCTCACTCAGACACTGACAAATCAACTCTCGGATTGTAGCTTTAACCAGCTGTGATGTTATTCCAGTACATACTGTTGTGTTTATGTTTAGCCTCTGGGCCAATTAGCAGACTGATGGCTAGGTGGAGCAAGTCTATGAGCCAAGAGTAGAGTAATTACAACCGTCTGTCGGTGTCCGCTGACAAGTGGCCGAAGATGTCTCTAATTGCAGCCAGTGTGGGTTCCAGACACACTATAGCTCCTTTTGCGGATGATCTTCCGAAGTTTGCATAGCTACCCATGGCACTGGGAACCCTGCTTTATAGCCTGCGATGATGAGAGTGTTATGTTATGCTCAGACATACCATATGTGCACTACTGTCAATATTGGTTTTAGCAGGGTTAGATGGGGTAGGGGAAATTGCGGGCCAACACAGTTTTTTTTCTTTATTTCAAAAAGGTCCGGATCATACGCAAGAATCCTAGTGAGCGGGAGCCAGATTTTTTTCTTCTTTGTCATGGACAGAGGTCATTTATCATGCACAATTTGGGCTGGGAAATAAATAAATAATCGTGTGCCCTATAGTTCTACCAAATTGATGGGAGATGTACAGGCATGTGCTTATTAATGACAGTGCTCTCATTGGGGTTTCGCTTAAAGAAATAAGTTTAAGAGTTCTTTCTTCCTCTATTCTTTTGCTTAAAAATATCACATTGAGAAAATTAACTTAAATCAACCAACACGCACACCCTGTGTTAAGTCTTTTAACAAGACATTGATTTCGTTTAGAGGGGGAAGGGGCGGATATCAGGGGAATTCAGTACATACCAAAAGAGCAAATCAGTTCTCAAATAGTCAAAAGGTGGTGATTATTCCAGAACCGTCTAGGGTATAATCAACAAAACTACAATAAAAAATTTTAGCCCTTGTGGGATTTAAGCTAGCTGTCCCATTTCGGCGAATCTGTGACAAGTTTAGGAGATACGCAGATTTATAGGTCATGCTAGGAGGGTAAGAACAGACTTCCTGTATGGTAAGATCGGATGGGGCAAACAGTTCCCCCCGACACACTAGGTCCCATTTCCCGGGGAATTATGATTCCTCTAAAAAAAATACACAAAAAACCAAGATAACGAATTTAGTGTTTGGGGTGATCTAGAGATGGTTTTGTTAGTAAAAAATAGAAGAATCCTTTGAGGTAAGTTAAGGATCTTTTTTAAGACGGGACCAAACAACCGATTCGAAAGTGGGTTAAAGACTTTAGTTAGAGGAAAGAGAAAATTGCAAACGAGGCGATTTTGAAAACCGAGTATTCTGCAAAAGTTTCGGGATACTTTATTGTGGGTCAATAAACGTTCAAAATCCACAAAATGCCAAATGGTTAACTGCCCCTCCCATGAATGTAACCACACACAATTTGGCAAACATGGAAAAAAAACAGCTACATACATACAATGTGCTGCTACTCTATATTATTATGTATCATTCCTCTATATATGTAGTGCGCTGGCTGGACGAGGGACAGAAGTTAAAGGACCAGGGAGGAGACAGCGGCTCTCTCAACCTCATTCTCCTCAAGAAGTACTACACGACCAACACAGACATCGGTCTCCTCGGCTCCAGCAGCGTTCTACTGAGACACCTGTACTCTCAGGTGACTATAGAACATATGTACACATCATCAACAAGGGTGCAAGGTAAGGCAAGCAAATCAACAGCACCAAGGGCATTAAAAGAGCTGCCCTGGGTGGGGATTAAGCCGGGCCCACTCTCTACTCTAGATTTGTCCTACTGAGTCACAGGTCTGATCTCCACAGTCCACTAAGTAGCAAAGGGGTTAAATCATAGGAAAACGTGTGCATGGCGACAATCAGAAATCAGGGAGGAAGTCCAGGCAACAGAAACACTGTTGACCAAACAATAATTGTAGTAAGTCCACGTATAGTCAGATCCCCCCTGAGCCGTCATAGTGAAAAGGATTTTGAAATGAGTGTTCTGAAGTTTCCTCCTGTGGTGTGGCTAAAGTACTACGTGGACTATAACTGTAGTAATTGAGATATGATGGGATATGGACAACTTCACTCCCACTCTGTGCGTATCAGTTGCAACACTTCTATCTCAGTTTCTGTCACATGGTCACACCCCCCCTCTTTTCCCTCTTGCTGCTCTCTCTCTCTCTCTCTCTCTCCCTCTTCTCCCCCAGTTCCGTCGGTCCTATGTGAGCGGTCTCTACAGATGCACCCGGTCAGAGGTGGCCCAGCTCTCAGCTCTCATTGCCAGAGCAGAGTTCTCTCTCTCTGAACTTAGACCTGGCTCCCTACAGTTAGCCACACATACTACCTATCTACGGTGGAACCTCCGAACAAGGGACACTATGGGGCCATCAATTTTGTCCATTGTAGAGAGGTCGTCCCTATCTCGGAGGTCAAATTAAAGTATTAGCATTGGGTTGAAAGTGTCCTTTGTAGAAAGGTCGTCCCTATCTCGGAGGATCCCCTATCGGAGGGTCCACTGTACACTATGTATAGATCATTAAGGGCTAGAGGGATTGGTGGTAGAGTTAAAACTTGGCCAGTGGGGCTCATTAAAAACCAGGCCGTCGTCCAACTTTTTGCTGCAATTACTCAGTGAATAATTGAACATGAAAGTCCAATGTTTGTTGTACTTGGTAACTGAAGGTGTGGGAAGAGACTGCCGGCCAACTTTAGCCCACTGCAGAGCAAACGAGCTTGGCGTATGACAATATATTTATTGGGAGCTACATATACTGAATCCCTCCCCCTGCTTTCTCCTTAACTGTCATCTTTTTCTCTCTCACGCCCCTCTCTTGTGCACTGTTCCCATACCTCTCTTTTCTCTCCTTCTTCATTTTTCTTTCCTACTCTCTCTCTCTCTCTCTCTCTCTCTCTCTCGCTCTCTCTCAATGATTCTCAGGAAGACTGGACGACTGGAAGGAATAGTGCCTTCTTTCCACTACACCTCTGCAGACATCGAACAAGACATTCTCAAGGTATATTATACCCTTCAGAATGTATAGCCATAGCTATCTAAGTATGCATGTAGTGTATGCATGCTCATTAGGACCACTTACTCAGTACACACACTAACATTACCACACATTGACTTGGTTTGACTTGACTTGGTTTACCTGCTGAGTACGTAGCTAAGTTGTTGGTGTACTGGACTCTTCCAGTCGCTATGCCTGAGTTTGGCTCCTGACACAAACTTACTCACCCTCTCTCATTATCGTCTAATAGATTACCTCAACCACTCTTTATAGTATGGGCCCTACATTCAATTGAGAAGCCCTATATGTACATGCGTGTGAAAGAGAGTAACATACACTACTGTAGTTGTTAACTATACTGGCTGCACTTTGTGGCTATTTCCTAACTTGTACATGCTACTATGCGTTCATTGTACTGGGACACTGGCAGAAATGATGAGCTGTCAGGACTGAGAAACAATACCTGTCATTAATGGGAAGCTGAGAGATTGTGTAGTCGTTCTTTATCTTTTGTATTTGGTTGGCTAGTTCAGCTCTCTCTCTCTCGTCTTACTCCTTAACCTTAAACAACAACCTCACTGTCCCA